GCTGGAGCCAACCAACAATCAGGAAGATGGCTCAGGACCAAGTAGAGTGGTCTCCTGATACATATGGAGCCACACTCTGAATCAGAACTGACCCAGCTAACTAGAGCTCCCAGCTTGTGTGTCTATGTCTTCATTTCAAGCATTAGATACACTGAATTTAGGTGGAAACACAGTTTTAAATATTACATTTTACTTTATCATACAGAGTGGCTCGTGCCTTTAAATATCCTTAATTCCATTTTATTCCTTGGTATATGCACAACACAGTTCCTTCAGTCACTCCCCAAACTGTTAGAAATACTTGGTTTGCACATGTTTTTACTCTCTTAAGTAACACTGCAATGAACGCCCATAACAAACATTGCCAATACTGAATCTCATTATTCCCTTAAGTTAGATTTCTAGAAGTCAGATCACTGGGTCAAATGAAATGAGTGAAAATTTGCAACGTCTTGACAACTTGCTCTCCAGAAATATTTCAGTAGATTAACTCCATTTCAGCAATGTCTGAGCTCTTTGTCCTGAATACAAAGTATATCCATTGCTGTCAAGCCAATTCCGAGTTCCATAGTATGCTATGGGCTAATGCACTCGACTGCAAAGTTGGTTTGAAATGCAAGGTCAGAGGTTCAAGCTACCAGTCCCTCCTCGGAAACCCAGTATTGGGTCGCTATGGGTCAGAACCAACTCAACAGCACTTAACAACAACATAGTAGCTATAGAACAGATATAACCGTAGGGTTATAAGGTGGCAAACTTTACAGAAGCAGACTGATACATCGTTTTTCCAAAGAGAAACTGGCAGGTTCAAATAACTTAATTTGTAGTTAGCAGTCAAATGCTTAACTACTACATTGCCAGGACTCTTCAATAAAAAGTAAATAATTTTAATTTGAAATTAATTAGAGCGATGTTCCCTTTATTTTCTTCTCCCCTTTCAATAGTCTCATTGACTACATATATATTTTTATACCATTGTCATTTACTTTGCTCATGGTGTGAGATGAGTGACTACCAATATGTTTTTTTGGGGTTTTTTTTTTTTCCCAATTGTTGACCAATTTTCCATTTTACAAATAAGAATGGTGTTTGATAATATTTTGGTGATAACTGGCACTCTGATCTTGAAGCTAATATGTCCAACATTATACCATTAGGGACAATGTTTACTTTAGGTGTTTAGATTTTGGGTTTGTTTGTTTTTTTAATGTCATTTGTTTTGTTTTGTTTTCTATAAGTACTCTACCTTCATAATGATTACCAAAGTTTACTCCTAATCTCAGTTTGTTAGGATATTGTCAGTTGTTGTTGTCAGGTGCCATCGAGTCGGAACCGACTCATAGCGACTCCATGCACAGCAGAACGAAACAATGTTCGATCCTGGGCCAATCCATGATTGATATTTGGATTGAGTCCACTGTTTGGCTATTCTGAATGAGCTCTTAGGATTCCTATGAGCACTTATATATAAACCTCTGCTTGGAATCATGTTATTCTATTGGTTTCTTTCTTGTTTTAAAAATATTTTATTGTGAATTATGTGATAGTTTACATGGGAGAACATTAGCTTTACATTCATCCTATCGTATATTGTTTCATTGCCATGGTTACAATCCCCTCCATGCATCATCAACCAACTAAGGGGTATACCGTGCAAGCCTGCCCCCAGTCATCAGCACACAGCCCCTCTCCCTCTCTGGGTCTAGAGTCCTCAGCTGCTCCATCTCTCCATGTCATCATCTCTGCCTCCATCTCTGGTGTCAGTGCTTCTCTGGGTAGGGTCCCACTCTCCACTGTTCTCCCTTGATGGTTCCAGGGACCTCAGCTCCTAGACTGCAAAGTCAACCACTCCCCTCCTTTTGCTACAAAACGTCCACCTTTACATTTCCAACCCTCACAGTCAGTCCTGATAACAATTATTCACCATTGTACCACAAGGGACCTATCTCCTTTCACATTAGCCGCCCAGACAGATTAGATACTACTCAGTGGAGATTTGGTTTCGTTTTAAGGTGCATTTTTAAATGGTTGCTTTCAAGATTACAGTATACATCCTTAATTGTTCTCAGTCTACTTGGAATTAATAATTTACCACTTCATTTAAATGTAAAAAAAACTTAAATGGTGGTGGTGGGAGTGGGCCATGGGGTGGGTGAGGAGGAATAACTTAAGAATTATGAACTCATACTGACCCTGCATAGGGTTTCTGAGGCTATACATCTTTAGAGGAGCAGAAAGCCTCATTTTTCTTTCACGGAACAGCTGGTAATTCGAACTGCTTCCATTGCGGTTAGCAGCCTGACTCATAACCACTATGCTACCAGAGCTCTTTAAAAACTTACATAGTCAGAACCTGAACTGTTTACTAATAGGGAAAAGGACCAAACAAGGGCAATACAAATGAAGGGGTAGGGGAATGGAAGAACAAGGTGGATGGGAAAACAATTAAGCAGGTTTGCATGGGTTAAGTGGGACAGAGGTAAATAATGATGTATGCACAACCTTGGAACAACAAGACTCTGGGATACAGGAATTGAGACATGGTTGGAATGGGCAAAAGGGGGGGTTGGGGAACAATCTTAAGATGTTTGGCTGTCTTTTGAATCTTGGTTTCCCTGGCATACCATAATACAATAGACACTTGAAGCGGAGAGAAAGGGAAAAAAATAACACCTTACATAGTTCCGTTTAATTCATCACACCTTCCTTTTTTTTGTGCCGTTGTTGTTAATGCCATGAGTCTTTGCAACTCATATAGATCCCATGTATAACAGAATGAAACACCGCCCAGTTCTACGACACCCTCATTGCTGGATTTGAGCCCAGTGTTGCAGCCACTGAGTCAGTCCATCTTGTTGAGGATCTTCCTCTTTTTTATTGACCCTCTACTTTGCTAAATCTGCTGTCCTTCTCCAGGGACTTGTATTTTCTGATAACATGTCCAAAACATGTGAGACTAAGTCTTACCATTCTCACTTCTAAGGAATTTGGCTGTACTTCTACCAAGACAAATTTGTTCTTCTTATAGTCCATGGCATATTCAATATTCTTCACTATCATCTTAATTCAAATGCATTAATTAAAAATTCTTTGACCTTCCTAATTCCTGGTACAGCTTTTGTGTGCACATGAGGCGAATGGAAATGCCATGGCTTGAGTCAGGTGCACCTTAGTTCTCAAGGCAACTCCGTTACTTTTTAACAATTTAACAATATCTTTTGAAGCAGGTTTGCCCAAGGCAATCTATCCTTTGATTTCTTTCTTTTCTTTTCTTTCTTTCTTTCTTTCTTTCTTTCTTTCTTTCTTTCTTTCTTTCTTTCTTTCTTTCTGTCTCTCTTTCTTTCTCTCTCTCTCTTTCTCTTTTTTTTAAATGGTGAATTGCATGAAGGTTTAAAGACAAAATCATCAGTTTTACATTCAACAAATCACACACTTTGTTTCATCTCAATGATTGCAATCCCCTCCATGTAACAACAGTTGTGCCACATCCTCCCTATAGTTCTGATTTCCATTCCAGCTTCCTTCCCATCCCTTCTCAACTTTGTCTTAAGGTAATTGCTGCCCTTTTAGTTTTAAATGATTATCCATTCCATGGTGAGCACACCTTACTAGTAATCTCTCCCCTATATACCTACCTACTGCTTGGCCAAAAATTAGGCAACAAGGGTGAGTTCATTTCCAGATCTGAAGGGTGGTCAAGGGCCATAGTCTCAGGTTTCTCCAGTCTCTTTCAGAATAATAAACTCAGTCTTGTTTGCTTGTTTGTTTGTTTGTTTGTTTGTTTTGATAATTTTGAGTTTTGTATCACATTCCCCCCCCCCCCCAAATCCGGTATGCTCTAATATGATCCCTTTCAGAGCAGTTGGTAGTGGTAACCGGCAACGTCTAGTTCTTCTGGTCTCAGAGTCATGGAGATTGATGTGCACCTGGTCCATTGGCCCATTTGGACTGATTCCAAGCCTCTTCAATTCTTGTCACTCTGCTTGGAGTGATTGCTCATGAACTTTTAAGATCCCAGATGCTACACACCAAAATCAAATGTAGAATATATTCTTTGTGGACTATGTTATGCTAACTGACCATGGTGTCCCCTGAGACTATTGTCCTGAACCTTCAGGCCAAGCAATTCATTGCCTATGTTGGATAATATCTAAGAAGTTTCAGCATTTTGCCTGCTGTAGTCTCTACCACATTCACAATTGTGGTCTTTTGATTTTTTTGACTAGTGCTTCCATGGGGTCTTTTTGCTCTAGTTCTCATACGTTCAATCACATTTAAAAACCTGGAGGATGCTGTTATCATTTTGTTATTTGAAGTGTCACACGTGTCTTAAAGAAAATAAGAGGAATCATATAATCTTTTTTTATATTTAAGCAAATATTTATTCAGCATTAATGCTGCTCTGTAAATCCAAGTTTCCATCTGCTATTGTATTTCTTTAGCTAGAAGAACTCCTCTTAGCATTTCTCCTGGGGGAGAATAGGGAGAGTAAGGAACACTCATGAAGCTGACCATACCCCATCTTTCTTACTTCAGGTGTCCCATTCAGTATCAAGTCTGAACCTAGGGAGGAGAGAAACCTTAAATTCGATAGAGTGGTCAAAGGAAGCCTGTCTGAGGGGGTGCTATTGATCTAAGACCTGAATGAAAGGTATGTTGTTGTTGTTGTTGTTGTTGTTAAATACCATGGAGTCCGTTCCAACTCATAGTGAGCCTGCACAGGGTTTCTGAGGTTGCAAATCTTTACGGGAACAGAAAGCCTCATCTTTCTCCCATGGAACAGCTGTTAATTTCGAACTGCTAACCTTGAGATTAGCAGCCCGATTCGTAACCACTATGCTACCAGAGCTCTAGTAAATTTAATAGTTCTATTAAAACACCACTAGACATTTGGATTCTTAATTAAAACTTACCATTGAAATTTTCATTTCTTTCTCTCCATCTCCCAAACAGCTCTTGTTTTTACCACCTGACAGGCTGTATCTGTACTTCTGTTGTAGGTGATGGCCCAGGTAGTGCTTTTCATGTGCATGAACACAGCTGGAATCTTCATCAGTTACCTGTCTGACCGGGCCCAGCGCCAGGCCTTCCTGGAGACACGGAGGTGTGTGGAGGCCAGGCTGCGCCTAGAAACGGAGAACCAGAGACAGGTACTGAGTGGAAAGGTTGCGGGGGCCTTTCTCTGAGTTACATGAAACCCTTTTCCTCTCAAAACACACCTTGGCTTGCAGGTATTTTTTCAAAATCTGCGTCATGGGATTCAGAATTTAAAAGAATTATGTTACACTTTCAGGTCAGCATGGCACTAATCTTATTCTCCACCTGCAATTACCTGCTCCCCACAATAAATGAAGCCAATCTAGTCACAAAGTGGTTTCCTCCCACCTTTGATTAACAGGCTTGTTTGTGAACAAAGCCAGGAGTCCTAAAAACCACTGGCATTCCTGTCTATGGCCTTACTTCTTTGAGGTAGCAAATTATTATTTCAAATTAAAATATTTTTATTTCATTGAGATTCAAATTGTAGCCACCTCATGGAAGAATCTTGTACATGTCTATTTCCGAGGACTCACCTTGCCATTTAGAAGAGGTGATTGTACACCATCAGTTCTATGAAACAACACCATTCTCAGCATAGGGGGTATGGTGGGAGAGACAGGATGGGTGGGATGGGGATGATGAGTTCTAGTTTGGAGAGTTGAGATAAGCAGATTTTTGGGCATTCTGATCCAGTGATTTCAAACATAACTTTCAGTTCAAATAATATTTCCTGAAAATCAAATTATCTGCCAAAGAATAAAGTTTTGATCCTAATTGTGAAGTGCCATCGAGTCGATTCCAAGCCATAGCTACCCTGTATAGGGTTTCCATTTTATTCAATGTTTTATTGGTGAGCTTGAACCGCCGACCTTGCTGTTTAAACAGCTTTGCAGTCTAGCTCATTAACCCACAGCGCCACACCAGGACTCCTTGATCTTAATAAAGCTATTCACATATTGAAAATGTATATATACCAGTGCCCCGAAAGCAGTTTTCAAAGAGAAATATCAGGAATCATTTTTTTTTTTTTTAATGGCTTTAGAATCAGCGTATAGCCTATTGAGAATTTATAATCTTGGGATTTTGTGCTCAGTGGATTCTTTAGTGCTGCTATACTAGAGCTGTTGTTTTTAAAGTTGCTATATATTTGCTTTGTGTATTTATTTTTCAACATTTTATTGTGTTTTAGGTGATTAACAAGTTAGTTTTCCAGTTAATGACGCATCCACACATTGCTCTGTCTCATTGGTTATGAGTTCAGCAATGGGTCAGCCCTCTTCCCATTTCCTTCCCGGGTTTCCAGTTTTCCATTCATCTGGTTTCGCTGTCCCATCCTGTCTTCTCCTCTTTAGTGTTGGGAAAATGTTGCACATTTGGTCTCTTCTAGTGGATTGTTGTAGGAGCTCTGGTAGCGTAGTGGTTACGAATCGGGCTGCGAACCTTAAGGTCAGCGGTTCGAAACTACCAGCCGCTCCGCGGGAGAAAGATGAGGCTTTCTACTCCCGTAAGGATTTACACCCTCGGAAACCCTGTACAGGGTCGCTATGGGTCAGAACCGACTCGACGGCACTTAACAACAACAACAAGTGGATTGTTGTAAGAAGCATATTCTTCACAGTTGTTGTTGGTGGTTTTATAGGCCTGTCTGTTATTTGGTGATGAGGTGGTCTTCAGGAGTATCTTGATTTTCAGGTTAGAAGGTGGTCTCTGGACAATAGTGTGAGGGGTTCCAGTAAGCCTGGTTGTTTTAGTCTTAGAGAATCGTGCTCTACCTTTTTACCCATTTTAACCAGGACTTCTATGGTGGTCCTAGTCAGCATGGGTGGTAGCAATAGCTGGGCACCATCTAGTTCATCTGGTCTCAGGTCAGAGGAGCCTCTGGTTCATGGGGGCTGTTAGTCATAGGTGCTTCCTTAAATATTTCGTTTTCTTCATTCTCCTTTGCTCCAGGTGGGACATACTTGTTTTATTAAGCTTTATGTGGTACAATATACATTTACATATATATTTACTATTGTTGTTGTTAACTGATATCAAGTCAGTTCCAACTTACAGCAACCCTGTATAGCATTTCCAAGGAGTGACTGATGGGTTTGAACTACTGACCATGCGATTCAAATCTTATGATCAGTAGTTATCCACAAGGTCAGTGGTTCAAACCCATCAGCCACTCCTCAAAAACCTTAAATAGAGTCGCTATGAGTCAGAACCAACTCAACAGAACTTAACAACAACAGCAATGTGTGTGTGTGTGTAAGGAACTGTAAGCTAATACACTAGACTGCAAAATCAGTTTGAATCACAAGGTCGGTGGCTCAAGCTCAACAGTCACTCCTCAGAAACCTTGTACAGGGTCGCTGTGAGTTGGACCCGACTCATAGTGATCCTATATAGGGTTTCTGAGAAGCAGCTGGTGAGCTTGAACTGCTTTTCAGTTCAAACTAACCTTTCGGTCCAGTGCTTTTCCTACAGAACCACACCAGGACTCCATATTCATGTGTGTGTGTGTGTATAGCTATTCAGTTTCATTGGATCAGATCCTTAGTAAATAGGGATCTGTGTGATCATGCATGAAGAGGACAAGTAGGGTGCAACTTGACCAGACTCAACCTCCACTATCATATGTTTTAGACAGGGGCACAGAATAAACTACCAGATTCCCAGATCCTACACAGACTTCACAGGATTCAGAATGCACATCTAGAGCTCTTATGGGGCCTTTTAATCATTTTGCTGTATGTTCCTTGGATAGCTTTATGGTATGATTTAGGAAAGTAGCTTTAAGACAGAAAATACCTTGTACACTAAACATGAGTATCTCCAGGACATATTATGTTCCTCTGCAAAACAGAGCAGTAGCTAGACGGGCACATCACTATTCCCATGGGCTCAGTGCCAATTCAGAGAATGCTGCCACATTAATAATGGAGCTACTCAGCTGGTCTTGAGGCTCCATCTAAACCGGAGCTGTGCTGTGGCTGAGTTGTCTGGGATGCTCAGCCTCTTGTTTATGTTTGCAAAACATTGGAAACACCGGAATTATTGCTTTTTCATGCCCATAATCCTTTTCTCCTTTCCCATGTCTCCATTTGAGTTCTTGGATTCACTGCAATCTAGTAGAAATCTACTAGATTTTTTTTAATTGGTGGAAGGGAGGAAGAAAATAATAATTACATACGGGTGAGAATGAATGATAGCTACAATGCAATAAAAAATCCACTAAAAGTTCCTGCCACATGTCTCTTACTTTTTTAATTGGGCCACCAAAGTCATTTGACTTCTGAGTCCTAGATTCCTCGTCGACAAGAGGGGCAGTAGCTTTCTCAAGTGAGTTACTATGCATACAGCAGTACAAACCTAAAAGTCAGTCGTATTGTTTTCACCGATGAAATGTAAGGGAAGACTCTTATTCTTGGATGGAGGAGTCTTTGTTCTGGTGATGAAGTAGAATATAATGTAAATGTTTAGACTTGTCCTATGTTCACATTTATGATAAATTATTGTGGTTATATTGACCACCTCATTTCCCCCGGGGAGGGTATCTGCCATAACTGACTCTATGTCAGTCAGAGCTAAAGTTACATTCCATTGACATTTGATCTTTGCTCCAGGTTTCCAGTGTCCCAGAGAACTTCCCTGTGGTTGGTGGGCAGTGCAGTCCAACAGAGAAGAGAAAGACAAAAGAGAAAGCTCTCCAATGAGACTAACCTCAATTTGACATCTTTGCTTAGTTACTTACCAACTTTGTGACTTTGAGCAAGTGGTTTTATCTCTCTTGAGTCTTATTAGCTTTTCCATCTGTAGTATGAGGAGAATAATACCATTTCTACAGACTCTTTTGTTTTGTTTTCTTAAGTTTTTATTGTGAATTGAATGAAGGTTTACAGAAAAGATTATCAGATTCACATTCAGCAAATCATACGCTTTGTTTCATCTCAATGATTGCAATCCCCTCCATGTAACAACAGCTATCCCACTTCCTCCCTGTGGATTCTAGTTCCATTCTACCCTCCTTCCCATCCCTCTTTAACTTCGTCCTTAAGTAATGTTACACTTTTAATTCTGAACAATTCACCATTCCATGGTGAGCATACCTTACTAGCACTGCCTCCCGCTAAATACCTATCTATTGCTTGGCAGAAACTTGGGCCACGAGGGTGAGTTCCTTTCCAGACCTGAAAGGTGGTTGAGGGCCCTAGTCTTGGGTTTCTCCTGTTTCTACAGAGTCTCCTGAATGATTAAAAATATTGTGTGCAATGGTTTTGAGGTGCTTTGTGCATATGGTCTTATGTGAGTCAGCCAGCATCGCTCAGGCCCAGGAGTTCTCATTTGAGGACACTTTATAATGTATTTTCTTGAATTAAATCCCAATTTAAGGTAATTTACATGAAGAGAAATCAAGATGGTGGTTTTCTTCAGGTGTAGAGCAATTGGAACTGATAATCAAGTTCCATATCTTTTAAAATATCATGTGTCATTAAAGTCATTCCCATGTACCTCTTATCAGAGCTAATTATAGTGGCATCACTGTTAGAAATTCTACACTATGTGAAGGAGATACTTCTAGAGCCTAAGTAACGGTGGATCATTTTTCCTTGAGTAATTATCCCAAATAAATCTGTTTTGGAGGAAGTGCAGCCAGAGTGCTCCCTGGAGGCCAGGATGGCTAAACTTCGTCTCTCCTACTTTGGACATATTGTCCGGAGGAAACAATCGCTGGAGAAGGATGTCATGCTGGGTAGGTGGCATCATTGATGGACTCGGGTGTGGCAGCGGTAGTGAGGTTGGCCCAGGATCGGACATTGTTTCGTTCTGCTGTGCATGGGGTCGCTATGAGTCGGTTCCGACAATTATCCCAAAGGAGTCTTATGAATGGCATATTTGTTGCAATTACAAATGCAGACTCACAGAGGCCATATTCCATAGAAATGGGCAAAATTTGTATCTTTATCATTTGTTGTTGTTATTGTTAAATTCTGTCAAGTCTGTTCTGACCCATAGAGATCCTGTAGAGGGTTTCTGAGGAGCAGCTGTTGAGCTTCAACTATCGACCTCGTGGTTCAAATTGACTTTGCATTTGTTGTTGTTAGGTGCCATCGAGTCGGTACCG